TATTCAATTATTCTGTTCAAAGTCCCTCAGAAGCTTCATTTTCATCCTCATTTTCTATGATAGTTTTTCTTTTTAATTTTCTTTGAATAAATATTGATTGAAATAATATTGAAGATTTTATTCAATCAATTTTAACATACCACATGATTCTTCGAAATATTCAAATTTTTGAATTCGATCATTTACTGAATCAATAACAAACATATTTCCAGAACGATCAAAACTCAAACCACATGGACGATACAATTGATTGGATTGTGAACCCACTCCATCACATCCAACTAAACACCGAAAACCATTCACGCTCGAGCCAACAATACGATGATTGTAAGAATCCACAATGAATAAGGACTTGTCAGCATCTAATATAATTCCAGTTGGAGAGCGAAGTGCAATTGTTGGATTTCGTGATGTAATTCCAGCCACTGTGATTCCATTTAATTCTTCCAGCTGAAACAACTGAACTCGATCATTTAGACAATCTGACACATATAAATCCAAATTCACATCGACAAAGATTCCAAAAGGATGTGAGAGTTGATTCGAGGCTGATCCTCGAATACCTGTTCCAACAGCAACACGATTTAAAGTCATCATGGGATCATTCAACGATCTTTTCAGTACTTGATTATGGAAACTCATAGAACAATAAAGAGTATCATTGATATCGACAAACAAACCCCAACATGATGCGTTGACATGCATCACTATGATAAAGTTATTTGTTTCTGCACTCCATTTCTGTACTCGACCATTCTTATCACCATCATCAATATAAATATCGCCATTTGATGTCACGAAGATAGACAAGGATTCTATAAAATTACCCGAAATGATCTTTGATGGATTGGCACTCTCTTCATACCATATTAGAACTGTTGTGTCTTTTTGATTAGTGACATAGATTGTATTGTTTGTGCTCACAAAAATGGCGCGAGGATCTTCGCCAATAACCGATCGATCAGCAAAAGTAATTCCATTGGGATTCCATTTGGCTGTTGGGCAAAACTTTGGTTTATTGAATGAGACAGCTAAGAACGGGAAAAATAGAAAGAATTGTAAAGAAAATGAAGCTGTTAATTTCTATATTCATAAAAGTAATACAAAGGTTTTTCAAAGAAGTTTTGGATAAAAAAGACATTTAGAAATGTTTGTCAAGATTGATTTTAACAATCATTTTATTAATTTTGATCGAAGTTTAAAGTCAATTTAGAAAAGAAATTGGAGAAAGAAGATAAATATTATTTCTATCTTATCTCAGTTGTTATGAACATAACTTATCTTATCTTATTAAACTTCATTTAGAAATAAAAAATAGTATCACCCCAAGTTATTTTGACACTGAATGAAAAATAAAACATGAAATCCAATTTTTTATGTTTCTTAAAAAGTATCTTTTCCTCTCTACAGACATTCCTCATAAAAATTCTTGCTCAAAGTGTTTTTTATCTCAAGAAACTTCAAAGACTCATCATGAATCACAACATATCATCTTTGTTTAATCAAAAGAAAACAAATCTTTGTTTAAAGTTTTAAGAGTATTTCAAAAATTTCAATGTTCCTACTATGAAATAATAAACAAAACAAGAGATTCTTTATTTTCATATGGAAAGCATGGATAATTCTCCTTAAAAAACACATTTATTAACTACATATCTTCAAGAGAAAATAAAATAAATATTTTTACAATTAATACATCTCTTATAAATCGAAAAAAATTTTCTCATTGAAGTTTAAAAATATAAACAAAGTATGTGGGTTTGAATATGAATGTGTGGGTGCGCGTCTGTTATCTTAAGTTACATCCACATCCACCCTCAACAAAAAAGCGAAGATTGTTTCCCTTAGATGATTGACGCATGGCTCTGTCTAATCTGAACATTTCATTTCCTTAGATACAGTCTTTTACAGATTGGTTTAATTAACCTTTCTCAACTATTTTTGTTTTCCTTTATTTTTATATTGAAATGTCTTTATTAACTTCTTTTATCGATCTATTCACATCTCTTCATCTTATTCAGCATTTGTTCAACTTACCAATAGAATCTTTCATCAATAAAAATTTTTGAATTCGATCATTCCGATGGTCAGTAACAAATATGTTTCCAGAATGATCGAAACTAAAACTAAATGGATTACGCAATTGATTGGATTGTGAGCCCGCTTCATAACACCCAACTAAACATCGAAAACCATAAAAGCTTGAACCAATAATACGACTATTGAATTGATCCACAATGTATAAGTACTTCTCGGCATCTAAGACAACTCCACTTGGGCAACGGAGTGTAGTTGTTGGATTTCGTGATGCATTTCCTGCTACTGTGATACCATTTGATTCTCCTGACTGAAACAACTGAACTCGATTATTTCCACAATCTGCCACATATAAATCCAAATTCACATCAACACAGATTCCAAAAGGGCCACTGAATTGATTCGAGGCTGATCCTCGAATACCTGTTCCAGCAGCAACAGGATATGACGGCATCACAGCATCAATTAATGATCTTTTCACTACTTGATGATACTCAAACATTGAACAGTAAAGAGTATCATTGATATCGACAAACAAACCATAACATGATGAGTTGACTTTCATCACCGTGATAAAAGTACTTGTTTCTACCATCCATTTCTGTACCCGACCATTCTTATCACCATCATCAATGTAAATATCACCATTTGATGTCACGAAGAGAGACGAGGGTTCCGTAAAATTACCTTGAATGATCTTTGTTGGATTGACAATCTCTTCATGCCACATCAGAATTGTGCTACTTTCTCTATTAGTGACATAGATTGTATTGTTTGTGTTCACAAAAATAGCGCGAGAAGCTCGACCAACGATTGACTGATTAACAAAAGTAATTCCATTAGAATTCCAGGTGGATGTTGGAGAAAACTTTGGTTGATTGAGTGAAACAGCTAAAAACAAGCAAAGAGAAAAAGTATGAAGAAATTAATTTGTTAATTTATATTATGTTTTTGAAAAATTCATTGAGATCAATTTTAAAAGCATTTGTATAGTTGTCGTATTTTCTCCGATGAAATGTGAACAACAACTGCGAGGAGAATGAATTTTATCGAAGAAGATCAACGCCCTTTATGGAATTTTTTAATGGGAAAGAAAAAACAATATGATCAATTTTTGAAAAAATCTGATTTTCACTGGAGATAGAACAATAATTAAATGATTTTCTTTTAATTTTTCAAACAGAAATGAATCTGACGGGAAAGAAAAAGATTTGTTTGAAGTCTGAACAAAATATCTTTGATACTCAATACATTTTCTTATTAATATTGAAGAGACTGTGAATATGTTGATTTCAAATCATCGCGATTGAATTTTAAATGTGAAGTGAGAAGAAAAATCTCTTGTTAATCTTTATCTAAAAAATTGTCCTAAGAAATTATTTGAAAAAAATCTTTTGTAAAAAAGAAACAAATCCGAAATTGATCTAAAGTTTTGCACTTTTATCAAATTCTTCAAAGAACCAAAGAAGATTTTTATCGCAGAAATCCATTTACTTCGACTTTTTTCAAATCAAAATTAAGTTTAATAAAGTTTTTTCTCTTCGTTACTTTTCGTCCCATTATTTCAATTTGAATATTTTGAAAAAAGTTCAATCATCATCAATCTCTTTAGAGACAAAAAACATTTATATGTATTTTATTTTTAATTCAAATGTTGTCTTATTTAAGAATATTCTTTTATCATATTCTAGTGACAAAAATACAAGGGGGAAACAACAGAATTCAGTCTCTTGAATTCATGGATTCTTCTATTTCTCCCTTGGATCGGAACCATCATCTTTGAATAAATGAGAAAGATCCCACTAAACAAGTTCTATAATCTATGATTTGACTCTCTTTTGTTCAATTACAAATTCAATGAATAATGTCATTGATGCGATGACTGATCTTCAATATGTGATAAATAATAATATTTACCTGATGTTTCATTGTTAAGAATGAGCAAAAGAATAATAATCAGTACGTAAATATTCCACATAATTCAATGAGATTTGTTCTTTGATAAATTATTCAACTAATGAAATAATCTTTTTTCTTCTTCTTTGCCTTCGAAGAAAACAAAATAACATGCACTGTGGTTTTCTCTCCAATTATATCTCTCTCTTTTTCTCTCATGCATTTCTTCCAACATAACAGAAAGAGAAAAAATAGTGTTCCGAAGAAGGTTTAGTCGTAGAGAAGACAAAGAATTGATTTTAGATTTGAGAAACAGGAAAAACTGGTCATATGATTGGACATTTTAAGATAAATTCCATTCTCTTCGAAAGTATAAAATAAAATTTAAATTCCAGATAATTGTTTTCTTTTTTTATGTGATTGAAAAATCTTTGATTTTAGTGAAGAAGAACGTGATAAAGAGAAAAGAGAATTGATCAAAATCTGCCTTGATTATCAAACGTGTTTTAACTAAAAATAAGATATCAACTATCATCGTCAATAAATAAGTCATGATTAGTTTGATGTCTTTTTTTATTTAAATCTGTTAAATAATCTATTTTGTCAGGATTCACTTTTAATCACGTTCTTTATTTCTTTATGCGGAATAAGTGTCTATGAGAAAAGATTCCTTCTTTGAATATTTCAATATATAGTTTTGGATAAAAACTCGTTAGATGTAGACAGAGCAGAATTGTTCGTCGCGATACGGTAGATTTTTCAGAGGGAAAGCATGAAGTTAGGGTGTAGGTGTGGGTCTTAGAGAAGAAGAACAGACACCCACACCCATCCTTTCACGAGTAAAATATAGAGGATCTATAATTTTGACAACCACTGTATTTATTTATTAAGCACAATAATTTCTAATTATTCAATATGTTTTTTAACTTCTGTAAATACAGAAAGTAAATAAAAAACCTAGAGTAATAAGAATAAATTTGAAAAGCAAATAGGAAAAAAAACAGCTTGATTAATATTTACGACACTAAAAGATAGATGCGACGATAAAGTTTCGAGATATCGACCGTCTAAATATGAGTAACAAGGTAGAAATTATGTAGGAAACCAAAGATAAAAAGTAGAAAGATTATAGAAGTATATCCAATTGCTACTGCTTTCGAAGTGCTACTAGGCAATAATTCACTAGTAGTGGTGTTGATAAATTCTGAGCTGAATTCACAGCGATGTCCATAATAAGAAGGAGGACAAATACAAATGAAATCGTTAGGATCTTTCAAATCTCCTTGCATACATTTTCCACCGGATAGGCAGTAGTTACAACGATCAAGTTGAGTATTGTGACTGAAACATTCAGCACGATAATGGTCCGATTGACATAAACACAAATAGTTTTCATCATAAAAGCATAACAATTGAGTATTACTTCGACAGATGAGATGATATAGAAATACAGATGGAACAAACGTATTGTCATCTAAAAGTATTTAAAAAAACAAAATAAAGTGAACATTTATATGCAATTAAAACTCACTCTTAGTTAGTAGCAATGATACATGTGGACAATGCTGTGGAGTCGAAGTAATATTAATAATTGATATTTGAGGTAAACTATATATGATGAAATATTGTGGATATGTTAAGTTTTGATAAATTTTTAAAAGACCAAGTGAAGGCGCATACGCAGCTGAATGGTAGTAGTTAATCTTTGATGGTATGGCAAAGGATACTTGCTGATGTTGGATAACAAGTTGAAAAGAAGGTGTTTGAATATCGTAAAGTTGAACAACAGTTGCACTAATCAATGCTGTATGTGTCATGTTTAAATTAACATGAACAGATCCCATCTCATACTGACATCGATTTCCGTAGAATCGCTTTGAACAGCGACACATATAGGATGCTTCACCACTCTGATCATCAGTAGAAAAACAAGTTCCATTATTCAAACACGGATTCGAGTCACAGCCATCGTGTTTTAAATTACATCTTGGGCCGAAACGATTTAGTGGACAAATACAATCAGGTTCCAGCTTATTAGGATTCTTTCGACAAAGAGCATTGGCCGAGCAGTATGTCTCACAACGAGGTAAGTACGACTCACAATGTCTTCCATAATATCCACTTTTGCATGAGCAATAATAAGTATCATTTTGATTAAAAAGTGGCATACATGTAGAGTTTATATTGCAACTATGTTGTGAACAGGGATTAGTTGTATTATTCAAAAACCAACTCGGAAATTTTAATACAACAGCCAGACGATACGCTGGTAAATAATCAAAATAGATAGGATAATGCCAAGAGCCTAGTTCTTTCACACTATTGTCTTTTTCAAGAGAGAATACATCAAAGTGAACAGAATATGGATGATGATTGATCACATCAGTTCGATTGAAATAGCGTACTCGTTTGTGTGTAAGCATTTGAGCAGATCGTGAATAGACAAGATAAAATTTATGTTTGATTTTTTTCAAATTTTCAACTGTTGGAATAATAGTAAAATCATGATCATCGATAATGTGGTCTTCAAAAATAAGTGTTGCCTTGATTTTGAATGTATTATTTAACAATGTTTTCTGATCAAGATGTGTAATAACACTAATTCTATCACTAAAAAATTCACACCAGCGACCATAGTAAGCGGGCGGACAAAGACAGATAGTTTCATTTCTATTCAGAATAGCTACACCCCGATTACATTGATATGAATGCATAATTGAAAAATAATCATTGCGTGGATTGGTGATATGCTTTAATAATTGCTTTTGATTTGGAAATTCCAGAACCGAGTACATAATCGATCTGGTAGCCGTCTTTTTGTTGTAACGATATACTGGTTGATTTGCGAGAGTATTAGGTGCACACCAATACTCATCTTCTCCATGCAAACAATCAGATTGTCCGTTGCATCGCCCATTTTTCACGCAACTTCCGTTGAGACACATGGCATCATGCATACTAGAACATGAATCAGTTTCACTTCGATGATTCGAACAGAGAATTTTACTGCAGTTATTCTTTGCTTCTGGTAAGCAAGCAGATGAGTATGGCTCGTAATGATCTCCACAACGTAAATGAAAACCAAACATGTTACCAATATCTGAATTTATTTCGAATGTATTTTTTTCATCATAAGCATTGTAGCAGTCTTCGACGCCGTCACCTATTTGCGTGAGATTAATACATGGACGAATCATTGTCATGTTTAAAGGATTTAATACGTTGGATAGATAGCATCCAAATTCAGCAGATAGATTACAGACAGTCGAAAAAGGTGATCTGGAATATCGTTGGTAGCATCTCTCAAGTCGAGAATGTGAGCCAACGAGATTAATATTGTGATCAGACCAGTGTGTTATAAGAACTATAGCTTCTTCATCGGATGCATCTGAACAATCCCATTCTCCATCACATACCCAATCAAGTTCTATACATTGCCCTGTTCGACATTGATATTGATGATCTTGACATATCCACATTTGACACGAAAGCGGTGATTCATCAGTGTGATTATGTAAATCCCAGAAACTATCACAATACGATCGGAAAGGTATCTGAGTGATTGACGTTTCTTCTAATGAATGGGCGAATGAATGCGTATTCTTCATCGATGACTGACTAATGTATTCTTTCAAACGGTCACAATCGACAGTATCGTTCTTATAACATGCAATACTTTCTTTAAGGGATACGCCGCTCCCATACCATATTTCGTCATAGTGGTTCGAACATTCACTTATTCCTGTACCTAAGTGGAATAGCGTGAGACATTTGTGCTGATCATTGAAACACTGAAAACGATGCTTTCCGATGTTCCCCGTACAATAATTTTTATCAAAGTCACTGAATTCATCATCTTCAGTTAGACAGTCCTGAAATCCATCATGTATTCGATATTGTGATATGCATTCTCCAGTACGATTACATATATCAGGATTGACAGCGTATGGACGGCCGTTGAACGTTAAAGAATCATTGTAACAAAACTTATCGTATTGAAAAGGTGATAAATAATCCTGATATCCTAATGAAGATTCATTCAAAGAGCAAAATATGTTATTAGTGTGAAAATACACTATTTCATTGGATAACGAGAAGGATAATAATGTAGGTTTATCAAGCGTGAACTGATATCCGCGACATCGTTGATTTCCTTGAAACATAAAACCACCGACTGTCGCATTTTCTCCAGATCGATTATAGTTATAATAAAACAAGATATTTGGATTGATCAATCCTGGCGGTGGATAGAAAAGAAAAGTGTTGTTTGGACATACACTGCTCATCATTTGTGTACAGTTAAGAAGATTGCAAGGACAATCATGCTCGAAACCATCGGACAAAGCACAGCGTAATAGATATTGACACTTGTCTACGTGTGCCAATGTAGATCCATTGATCATATTTGATGGAGGATATCGAGGATCATCATAGTCTTCATCTGGCCAACATAATCCATTTTCAAGTGTCCAAGCACGTCGATGTGGACTTACTTCACACATGTAATTTAGATTACGCTTGTTGAAACAATCATCCTGTGCTGGCAAGATTTGTTGAAATGCCATTCGAGTTATCCAATCGACACATTGCCCATCTCCACATGAATAACTATGACGAGGACATATATGCTCATCACATTCCATTGCATTTGGTGTGAAAGAACATGATTCTTTCGAACTTTGATCAAGTTCGTCACTCCAATCCACACAATCGACATGACCTGTAAATACGATTCATATCATAAAACAAAAGTCTCGAAAAACTTCTCAGACACTTACCATCAAGCCAAAACTCTTGTGGAATACACATACCATTTGTGCATCGAAACTCATCATCTTCGCATTCGTTGAACTCCAGTTTATCCCAATTTTCTTCATCATTACCATAGGAACATTGTTGTGTGCCATCATTTATCTCTCGCCAATCAAGACACAATGGACCATGATCGCATATTAATGTCTGATAACAAAGAATCTTTCCATATTTTTGAGTATTCCATGAATCACCATCTCGCTTTTGTTCAAATTGAGCTTTAATAGCATCACTGAATGATTCTGCATAATGTGTCAATTGATATTCACAATATTTGCCAAACGTTCCAGGTTGTGTACATTTGCATAAAAATTGATCATCACCGTCTCTGAATGATGACTGATTGTAGTAGAACTGTGCATACCAATCAGCCATTTCAATACTTGAATTCCAGTCGGAAACATCACTTGGCAGAATATTTTTAATGATTAAATCACGAAATGAAAAAAATTGACCTTGATTCTCGCATACTCTCTTATCTCGATTGAGTATTTCGTCTCCAGCAAGACGTTGGCAATATGGAATTTCTTCACCATTATCATATACATGATAAACACAATCGATTTTTTCATTTGTTTGACCATTTTCAGTATCATAAAGTAGAATTCGACCAGATATAACTGTAACGATTAATACAAAAATAATGATAGCAGTCGTCGACATTATCATCTATTTATCTATCTAGAAAAAAAGAAATCAAAGAATCGTATCCTGTGTAAGAAAAATATAAAATACATATTTCTCGTATTTTCAATAATTCTTCAAAAAATATAGTTACTATATAATTAAACCATATTACACGATGGTATTAATACTGCAAGGACGAATCGTGAATAATAAAATATAATACCAACTGAAACAGACAGACTCATATATGATCTTTCTATGAAATCATGTTACATGTCAAACTTGGTCTCTTTTTATTAAAACAAAAGCAAATATTTTGAGACTGTTTTTATTAAAAAAAACATTTTGTGGCTGATAATCTGATCCTCAACACAGATTGACAAAAAAGAAAAAAAATTAATTTACATAGATAAATAGAAAAAGCAATATTTCACAACGTCGACTCTAGTTCTTTTGTTTGATGATGTGTTATATTTCACAATATTTTTTGCAACTGACACTCCATGAATAACCATTCACTAAGCTGAAACATGATGACAGGAAAAATAAATACAGTCAATTAAAATATGTTATCTTTGTTTATTGGATAAAACTTTTGATGAATTGACCGAATGTCTTTGAGCATAATAAAAATTTAGTTTCAACGAGGATTTATTATTAGTGATGATAAGAATTGTCTTTTAGAGTGTGGGTAATGAACGGGAAGAAAACACCCACCCTCAAGAAAGACGTTTGACAAAGAATTACGCCAGATAGTTTTCTTTGGATTTTATTTTATATAATCGATAATGACAGTATATTTCCTTCTGAACACTGTCGATACTCATACATGCTTGATTAGACTATGTTTTTATTTTCTACAGATGCTCAAGTTAATGTACAAAAAGTTGTAGCTACACTTTTACCACCACAATGTACATCGTATACAGTCAACAATGATACCACAAGAAATATCGCAACACCCAGTGGTACAATATGTGATAAAACCTTTTTTTTCAAAATGTCTCCTACGTGGGTTCGTTTCCAAAGTCCAGCTGGTACAATATTTCCAACATCTCCACCAGCTACAAATCATTGTAATACAGCAGGTACAGGTTGGATATCAACAGAATACCCATCAGTAGTTGGATCAACTGTTCCTGCGACTATTTGCTATAATTCAGGCTCAAACAAGTGCGCTTATTCCAGTACAATTTCAGTTACCAATTGCAGTGGATTCTATATTTTCGCATTGGCTGCGCCGCCGACATGCAATTTACGTTATTGTACAACTTTTATCTAAAGTTATATGATCATGAACAATTATTTTTTATTTTTTTCTTCTTTTTTTGCCATCAAATATAAATAGTTGTTTAGTATATCTCTTTCTCTACTAATAAAATACATTTTTTTCAAGAAATATTTTATCAGATATAACATTTTATTTGCACTATTTCCTAAAAAGAAACTACAAAATATAATCTTTCTGGGTGAAATGCGCATGTGATAATTGAAAAAAATTCACATTCACACCCTCTATTGGTTCTTTCATAACTCATGCATTTTTTCGATACATTCAAAAACACATATAAAAGTTTGATTGTGTAATTACATGTTTTATTATGAAAAAAAAGCACATGAAAAATGTTGTCTACGTTTGAAGACTTACCTACTAGAATTTTAATAATTATTTACAAATACTCAGGTGATATTATTTACAATATTACATACATATCTTGGTTTAAATCAACCATTAAATCAAATTCTTTTAAATAAAAGTTTGAATTTATTGACTGATTTTTCTAATGCTAATATATTTCAACAAATATCCAAACAACTTTTATCAATAAATTCACTAATCGATAAAGATCAACTTTCTAAACTTTTACAACCATTGATTTGTTTTCATCTACAAGAAAAATATATTCAATTAGATGATGAATTAAAAATACAATTTTATAGTTTATACAAAACTCCGTTGACTATGAAATGTATTAAACATATTGAATCATTAATTTTAACAAAAGGTGCTCGTCAAGATCCATTTATTAGATTTAATTTTACTAAAGCTGTTAATCAATTACTTCTTTCTCATATTAATGATATTCAATTTAAATGTAATTCATGTTTACAATTATTCAAAATTCTACTAGTTTCAAATCCATCTCTATCAACAGATCTAGATGATGTTGGCAATGCTGGATTCAGATCAGAATATTTTCTTCTACATAATCTTTATTCTTTAGAATATTATCATCAGAGAAATTCTTCAAAATTTATCAATATGAAATGTTATTGAATTACAATTGATTTATTTTTCTTTAATTTACATTCTCTGAAACAGCAAGGGTATACACATGTGGATTATTTATTAAAAGTATTTATCATCATCGTCATTATATTGGATTTGAAAAAATATTTAATGAATCGAATGTTATTCGACAATGTATAAACTATATGAATAATATTCAATTAGAAATGATAGTGTCAATGATAAAGCATTGGATTTATTTTAATCGATCGAAAACAACGGAAAGTTTTGGAAAAAATAGTAAGAAAATTTCCATTTCTTATTCATCAATTAGATGAGGATGGAAATGATCTTTTACTTTATATTTCTCTTAATGTTCGTGGTTGTCGACATTGAATTATTGAATTTTTAACTAAGATGGGATCTGATACACAGAGAAGAAATTTCCATGGACATGATTTTAAGAAAATATTAAATTTATCAAAAAATAAGAAATTATTACATTAATGAATCGAGGGTGTGGTTTCGTAAATCGATGATGAATGCGTAGAAAGCATTGAACAATAATTTTTTTGTGAGACAAACTTTCTTTTGTTTCATATACAGTAACATTTTTTTGATAGCATAACGCTGCAACGTATATGAGTCATTTTCTTCTTACGAATCGAATTGTACTGAGCAAATAAAATGGTTATATTAATCGTTATTTTTCTTTTCGTTCTCCTTATAATATTCATAATTCAACCATGTGGATTAATGTTTTCGTAAATAATGCACAACAACAAAATATTTTGCTTCATTTTGACGCACATACATGCATCAAGGACAAAAATATTTTTAGATCATTTGTTTCAATTGCGATGGCAACACCAGCATTAAAGCAAGGACAACATATTATGTTTTCCTACGGTTGGGATATTCAAAAAGATGTGCTTGAAATTTATCATCGTCTTCAAGCGCATAATATTCCGGTGTGGATGGATATACAAGGTGGTATGAAAGATTATCTAACAGAGAGTATGTCTGCAGCTATTGAAAATTCTGCTGCTGTTTGTTGTTTTATTACATCAAAATATCAAAGTTCACCGTATTGTAAAAAAGAATTACTCTATGCTCAAGATTGTCAAAAGAAATTAATACCGTGTTTGATGGATTCTGATCCTACTTGGAAACCAACTGAATGGCTTGGCTATGCTATTATTGATATAATGTATATTGATTTTCGTGATTTACTAACAAATAAAACACCTGAAAATTTAGACGCCAAATGTGATTTATTAATTAAACGTATTAAACGGACAGTTGATCCCGGTGCGTTAGGTTAGTATTCCATATTAGTTGACTAATGAACAGTCTTTCTTTGTAATTCCTTTGTCCACAGGTGACGTCCATTATCAACAATCACAGCATCAACAAGAGAAAACAATAGTATCAACATCGCATAACATCGATGATCAAGACGAAAGAAATGATTCTTCAGTTTTCAATAGATATTTACCACATCCCTCACATTTTTCATAATAAAAACATGAATGCTTCTTTTTTTATAACCATCTCATCATCGATATTTTTTACAATATCTTTATTTCAGCTAATAAAACGGAAACACTCATTAAACTGTTATTCTCAAGGTGGATTTCAAACCCTTTCTATCATTTTTCTGCTATTGTGCTTGTAAAATCTTTTATTGATAATCATGTTTATTTAAATGCACGAAAACACGAATATAATAAATTTCTTCATAAAGCAAAAGTTAAAGTATCTGTTAATTGAATAATTATGGGAAAGCTATTTTCATTCGCCGATGACTATGATCATGTATACCAATAAATTCACATTTTTCACATAGAGTTATTCCACACGCGCATTCGTAACGAATACCAATGATCGGATATCTCAAACACGAATTACATTTACTCTGAGTATGATGTATTTGACTACGATTCTGCATGTACATTGATTGTGGATAGTCTCTTGAATCTTTGATACACAATAATGGATGATTATATACGTGATTTGATGGATGGTTAACTTTGCTCTCATATTTACATAATTGACAAAAATCGATATTTGAACAAAATAAACATTTATAACGATCGCCTCTTATCGGTGATATGAAACATCCATCACAGGTGACGTTTAGATGCGTAACAATATTCGGATTCTGATTTTCTATAAAATTCGAATTATTCATGATGTTATTATTCTGATGAGTTGCGGTTCGAATAGCTTCAAGTCTTTGCTGTTGGATTCTTTTGACTTCGTCAGGATATATTTGTTCTTGTAAAGATGCTAGTGAACTTTCGTCATCGGTTCCCACCAAATCAATACTATTTCGTCCAGAAGATGTATGTATCATATTCGACTGAGGTAATTCATCATTATCAAACGATCGTTTTCGTCGCTACAGTCAATGAAAAACAAAGCAATATTAGATTAGAAAATGAATCAAGAAATGTCAGAATATACAAAGTTGTTTATGATATCTAACTGTTCTCTGCTCATGTTATTGTAATGTTTTGATCAATGGAGATAAAAACAACGAGTCTAAAATTAGAACAAATCATGAAGAATTATAAGAGAATACAATACATTTTTCGACTGTCTTTTGAAATAAGATTGAATGTCTAGTGGAATCGGCAAGTTATTAGAACATATGGTTATAATCAAAATTATTGAGTTGGAGGATGATGTTTTGTTTCGTTTCGATTTTCTAAACTTCTATCTCATTCATAGAATAGTAGCGAATACGAATTGATGCATTCAAATATTTTACACAACGTGGTGTATATTATATTATACACAATTTGTTTTCGTTTATATTATAAAGAGAAAAAAGGGATTGGGCATGGATGATTGCATATGGAGAATAACAAGAAAGATAAATGATGTCATCAAAGGAAGTGAGTCATATCTATTCTTTCTTGTAGAATAAACACGCATGTAAGTAAGATCATCTTGAGGGTGTGGGTGTGAGTTACGAGAAGAGACACACCAACACCCACGCTCGCCCTCACTCCCATTCTATGAAACAAAGTTTATTCGTAGTTAAACTGCGGTAATATATTTCTGAAGAAAAATATTAGTCATTGTTGTCTGTTTCATATGATAATGATATAAACACGTTATCTGTCTTATTTATAGAAAAAGAAGATACTTTTTCAACATTTGCCTGACTGCTACGCGAAGATACAGAAAATAACGAATGTCACTCTCAAAATTGGAATCACTTCCTAACGAAATCTTACTTGATCTTTTCGAGAAATACATCGATGGAATCGATATTTTCATTGCTTTTTTTCAGCAACTTAGTAGTTGATTCGATGCATTGTTGAGTCAATGTCAACAACTTTATTTTAATTTTATTGGTTGCCGATTAGATAATTTTCGTTTTTGTATTCATCTTCTTCCGAATTACCTCGATAAAATAACAGGATTAGCTTTGTCTGAGCGTGGTGCACCTGACCATATTAATATGTTCTTGAAATATTTTCCATCATTTACACTTTTCAAACAACTTCGTTCACTTTATATACATTGCAGTGGAGGATACATTCATTCAAATCATGTAGAAAATGCTATTCTCTCATTGGTTGATACGAATATCGAAGTTTTATCAATTAAAATGATAAAAGGATCATTATTTCATTCATGGGGAAAAGTCGTTGAGACAATATTTACTTTTAAAACATTGCAACGACTTTCGCTTACTCTTCCTCGTCATTATACATACCAGAACGTTCAACTATCTACTCTTTTAAACATTGAATATTTGACCATTACAGGTGTGCAGTGGGATTGGTATGTCTTAATAACTTTCTCTAAATATATGCCTTATCTCAAATATCTTAATATCGAGGTGAATGATCATCCAATTCAATTTCACTATCTGTATCCATTAAAAGAAACAAATCTTCCATTTATACCAATGCTTAAACTTCGCACTTTATTTTTGTATCTTGAATGTGGAATTATACTTGATATATTATTACAGTACATTAAATGTGCACCTAACCTACATCGTCTTGCCGTAGATGGGTTCTCCTATACTTTTCAACTCGCGTATTTGGCAGAGATGGATTGAAACATCACTACGTCAACTAAACTATCTCACGCTCAGTACAAACACGATTCGTTGCGAAAGTCTTCAAAATATTATAAAACTAGAAAATATGCTTGCAAATTTCAAAAAATCATTTTAGGTTACAAAGAAAAATTTGAATATAATTATCACAGATCATGAACAGCCGAGTCATAATAAAGAAATCATCAAGATGATGTGTTATTGTGGAAGCGATGTTTCTCGTTATGATTCACGTCATCTACCAGTCGTCAAATGGCAGACTACACCCGAACGTATTTTAGATGATCATAATCATTGCTTAAGTACTATTACACGTCTGCGTCTTTCTTCTATGCCTTGTTTTTCATCTCGAAAGAACTATTTCAAGAACATCACATTTCTCGCATTGTATAATCTAAATATAGCATTGGTTGAATGGATAATTACTTACATTAATTGTTCAAGAATTACTGAACTCGTTATTATTTTATCCAATAAACAACCAAAAGCAATCAATACACTTTTAAAACATATGTCAAATATTCGACCATTAAAGATCGATTTCGACCAGTTAATTCTTGATCAAGGTGTTTCTATTGAAAAAACAACGCACCTTAAACGACTCGATTTATCTAATGAGCCTCATCCATTTAGAGAAAAAGATATTGCCACTATCGCTCAATTCTTTCCATGTCTTGAACATTTAGTAATCAATACAGTAGACCTACACAATATTCCATTGATGAAAATTTATCTACCAAAACTACGCAGTCTAAGTTTTCGAGTGAATAATTTTGTTCAATTATTCGACAGTCATCCTTTCCAACATTCAATTCCATTTGTTTTCCAACCAGAATCTAATTTGATTAAAATATGGGTCGATCAAACAACTTTCGACAAAGTATTTTGGCAAACATCTAATAATAGCTCAGCATAATCTTGTGAATATTTTATTTTAGCGACATCTTTTGAAATTTCTTAATATTTTATTTAAAATTCAGCCCATAGACACCCATGAAAATTTCTATCAATTAAGTCTATTAGGAGTACCATATTAGTACTAGCGTTAAGAAAAGACTAATACTCAAAGTATTAGCATTAAAATCAACATATCTTTTACATATAGATTCGCAACAATGTACGACAATGAAGAGAACAATAAATACCTTTCAACTGTTTTCGTAGTGATTAATTTTAATGTTGTAGATGCTGACGAAATTTCGGGTTTACGAAAATTAGTCTACGTGAGAATAATTAATTTAATTGAAAAGAAAATAACAACTTGAGAATATTTCTATGTTTATACAAATAAATTAAATAATACTATGATAAAACATAAAGAAAAATAATCCATAAATCATACAATGGTCTGTAAATGAAGTATTCTCTGATACAATCAACTACAGTAAACGTGTTCGTCATCTTATCATGCATCCACTACCTTCTCTTTCGGAGCAACTAGATGGGCTTGCTTATAATTTATGGCTTGTTTTTTTCGTCTTTTTTCACCTGTTGTTTTTTTCTAAATGTAGTTTTCTGTTTACGATATATGTGACGCTGAATTTCGTATTAATTTATGTGTGTAATCGCATACAGATGCAGTTGTTACTTGTAGAACAAATTTTGTTCTACAAATATCGATTATTTTTCGTATCGATCAAGTTTCGTTCTATCATTTTTCGCTTTCCCCGAAATTTCTTTCTATGACTCATGAAGAGTGATTGCATATTGTCACGGAGTGATCATAGTTCACTCTAGTGATCCTTCTTCCCACTTGTCATTGCATCATTCTGTTATGTCATATTCTAGTGACATCTCCTTATCTATTACATCATCTTCTTGTTTCATCATCTCCTTACGGACTATATATAGCCACTGATTTTTCAATGAAAGACATGCCTTCTCATCTACATCTTCATTCGAAGCTTGGGATTCTTCACCTTTTGGTATATCATTAACATATATAAATAGCAATTTATATATTCATTTTCACTGTATCATGGCTATGGAATCGTTACCTGATGAATTACTTCTAATAATCTTCGAATATTTATCACAGTATGATCTATTCTATGCATTTCACAATCTTAACTATCGATTCGAACGAATTATTGCTTGCTATTTCAACAGTATTGATCTGAATCAATGTGAAAACTTGTATCACAAACGTTTTCGTCTTTTCTGTGAAGATTTAATTCCATCATACGGACATCAGATCAATTCTCTCAGCATTTACGATCATCCACGAATTCGTGTACTTCAACCGTATCTACATTATTTAAGTAATCTTCAAATCTTGTCGGTCACGTCCGTTTACCTTAGTGATTCTTTAAAACAGTTTCTTTCTCAAGCATTATCTCTTTCTTCTTTAACCCACTTTTCATATGCTGGAGATCAAAGAGATATTTTGACAATACTGGCCTCTAACACTTCACAACATTTGACTACCGTCAAACTAATACATCAACCTCAACGTTATCAATCGTTTTATCTTACAGTGAGGTCACAAATTTCTACGATCAGACATTTAATTGTTGATCTCTGTACAGGATACAGCCTATCGGATCTACTTACTATTATGCCGAACCTGAACCAACTTACTTTGATTGTAAGAACATTCGACGCAACTTTTGGTGAAGAAAATTACCTAAAAATACCAAAAATGCTTGAAAAAGTAAACTTATCATTAAAGGGTCGTGATTTACCCGCTACTTACAACTTCAACTTTGCCTTTGTCAAAAATGTCGTGCAATTTTTTCGGAATAGTAATATCAAAGCCTTAACGTTGATTGCCTCTAACGTTGAAGAACGGTTTTCACACTTTGACCAATTACATAGCATCATTGAAGACTTTACTTCTCTTGATACTTTTCTATACCGAATCGATACTATTTATCTACCAGATTCCCAGTTTGAAAATGTTCGACAATTATCCAACTCGAAGTATTCTATTTTCACTGTTCCAGCACCTGACGATTTTGATCATTATCCATTGAAAAAGTTGATCAAAAAAACACCACCAACGGGAAACTTCTATTCTAGTTTTGGGAATAACACTGACCCAACAGTGCTTACTATTTCCATATCTGGCATTCTTCTGTTAAGTCAACCTTCATATGTTTACTCCGCATATTTGGATAATGTAAAAACAATCGAAATATGGGAGGACGTTCCAGCTGCCACATTGCGTCAATGGGATTTGCCCTATAGCATTCCAAATCTCGATAGTCTTATTCTTGACAAACCTGATTCGGAAGAATCATATCAAATTCTTCCGACGGAGTGTTTAGATCGAATTCAACATCTGCAATGTCATGCATTTTGGTCTGGTGGATATAGAAGGAATTATTATCCGTTTACTATATTTTTTAAAAACTTATTAAAGCACTTAACCAATATTACATCTTTAATATTAATGGATGGCGTTTATACAGCAGCAATTATCCATACAATTGTGAAGGAAATACGCACAAATCGTTTTCCTGGACTCAAATACTTAGAACTTAGAACAACTTCAAGGAGAAAGAGAAAAGGAAAGTTGCGTGCAAAAATCGACATCATTGCAAACGATTTGAGGGAGATAGAAAGCTCCTTTCTATATACGATCAAGCCACATTGTAGTCGCTATTACGAATTTTACTCATTTTACTCATTTCATATATACTTGTAATGAAATAACTTTTCCACGTGAGATTTCAACTACAACGAATTCTGTCTCTTTAACATTCTCGAATTACCTCTATATTTTATGTTCATACTTTCACATCCAATCAGATGATGATAATAAATCTACATTAAGAAAACTGTCTCAGTTAGAATGATTCATCAGAATTTCATTAGTAAAAGCCTAATGATGCACCGTTTAATGCAGTATATACTCTTGATTAAATGAGTTGCAAGGCTATCGATAAAAAAGAATGTAAATATGTTCATTTTATTGTTCGAATTGAACAGTAACACCAACGTATTTAGGCATGATAGTTATTGTTTGAACAAATCCACCTGCGATGACTTCTGGACCACCATCTCCAAATGTTACATGTTGCATTAATCTTGCTATTATAACTTTCAGTTCAAATCGAGCTAAATCCTGTCCAATACATTGACGATGTCCGCTGCCGAATGGTAATAATGCATAGGATTGATGATTTTTGTCCTCACCTAGAAATCTTTCAGGATAGAATAATTCTGGATCAACAGACCAATATCGAGGGTCTCGTGCGAGATTCATAAATGGAATAATTACTTCGTCACCTGCATATAATTGAGTACCACTCTCAGGTAGACGATCATCCATTGTTAATGAACGAGCTGAACCATCAGCTGGTGGACAAAAGAGTAATATTTCCTTGATAACACAATCCAGATAAACCAATGAATCTAGATGTTCCAAAGACAAATCCTCCTTACAATTATTTTCTAATAATTCTGCTTTGATCTTTTGTTGGACTCTTGGATGTTTACTTGCTAGATGTATGAACCATGATAGGGCAGTCGATGTCGTTTCATAACCAGCTATAAGAAAAAATGACACTTCATCCAGCACTTCACTACGACTGAGACCTATATTGAAATAAAGATAAATGAGCGATTACTATTAGTATGATATACTATAAGAAATAAATCTAACCTTTTTTTTCTTCTTCACTCTTAGTCATTTCTGTTTTTTCATTATTTTGTAATGCGGAAACCAATGAAGCAATTAAACTTGTTCTCTTACGTTCTGATATCGTTTCTGAACAATCAACTAATTCATGATCGATTATTCGATATACGTGTTGTTGAATAATAGTTCGTGCTCGTTGATATCGACGACTCAATCGCAGATAGATTATGGCTACGACTTTTGGTAAAAAGAAAACAGGATAGATACTTTCCAAGAAATCTGTAAGCGCTTGAGTCAGTTCATTATTATCAGTATTACTGAATGTCTTCAAATCGTAGTCAAACGCAAGAAATCCAAATATGAGCAGAAGAAGATTTCGACATTGTTGAGGAATATCAAGATGAATATGATTTGAAGGAATCGAACGCCATTGTGACAATAATTTATTCGTACAATCAATAATCAAGTCAAAATTCGGAATAATATTATTACGACGAAATAAGGGTATAGTGAGTGAGGCATGTCGTTTGAATTTGGCACCTACAAATGATGATACAAAATCTTCAGTACGAAAAGAAGAAGAAAAATCAACCTTTCAGACAAATGAGAGCGTCATGAAGAAATACTTTGATTTGCTCTACCAACATATCACCTTGTTCGTAAATATTGCGATGAGTATATATGTGTTGCACATCAATAATATTACTTACAACAATGACACGAGCAGGTCCAAACCAAAATTGAAAAACATCACCAAAACGACTTTTGAATGTCCTGTAAACTTCATGAAGACTCAAGTCTTTCAATACCAATCCAGACTGAATTGTATTGCCAAAGAAATAATGAGGTGACAAGCCAGGTATTGGACCGCGAAGAGTAAAATATTTCATTTTCGTATACCATATTAGTAGAATTATAACAGCAAGAACCAATAGAAAAATCATCGTTCTCTTACAATTAACGTCAACCAACAAAAACAACGTTTGTTTCTTTCTATATAAAATAAATATACGAATAAGCAGAAGAACAGATGGTATATGCTGTTAGACGTCAAATTCTTCTTTGCTTATCGAAGAGACAACAAGACGTGTTTTTCTTTTCTTCTTGTATATATAACCTTATCGCCTTTTTCTAAAGCACTTTTGTACCAATTTTTTTATTTGAATTGCTTTATCTAGCTTTCTCGTTAGTTTATTCATCTCATCAAAGGCAAAGATGCAAAATCTCTCATTGAGAATACATTAAATATACGTATGAATGAGAATAATAAGAAAAATCTCTGTATTAAATTTGTGGTACAATTTTTTCTAATACGAATGATGAAATAGTTT